GGGGTTTCTTGTGGCCTCCCGAGGCCTCCTGGGGTTTCGTGTGGTCTCATGGTGCATGGAGCTTCCTGGAGCCTCCTGGGGATGATTCGTGCTCCAGGAGAGGCCCAATATATAGGAACATACGTAAAACATTTAGGATTGGAGCCACAGGAGAGGGGCAATCTATAGAAGCACGCGTAAAACACCAAGGATTCATGCCCCAGGGGAAGCCCAATATGTGGGAACATACGGAAAGCGTTCAGGATTGGATACACATGAGAAGGACAATCGATAGAGACATGAGTAAAATATTGAGGATTCGTGCTCCAGGGGAGGCCCAATCTACAGGAGCATACGTAACACACCTGGGATGGGAGCCACTCCTGTGGCCCTATGAGGCCTCCTCGGGCTTGCCGCCTCCTCGGGCCTGCCAGGGCCTCCCAGTGCCTCCTGCCGCTTCCTGTGGCATCCTGTCGCCTCCTGGGGCCTCTTAGTGGTTCCTGGGGCCTCCTGGAGCCCCCTGATTCCTGGGGCCTCCTGGTTCCTGGGGCCTCCTGGTGGTTCCTGGAGCCTCCTGGTGGTTCCTGTCGCCTCCTGGAGCCTCCTGGTGGTTTCTGGGGCCTCCTGGAGCCCCTGGAGGACTCACATGGCCTCCTGGGGCCTCCTGTGACCTCCAGTGGCCTCCCGGAACATCCGGGGAGCTCCTGGAGCCTTCCGGAGCTTCTTGGTGCCTCTTGGGGCCTCTTGGGGCCCATTGGGCCTTCCTGTGGCCTCCTGATGCCTCCTGGGGCCTCCTGTGACCTCCAGTGGCCTCCTGGAACACCCGGGGGGGCCCTGGAGCCTCCTGGAGCTTCTTGGTGCCTCCTGGGGCCTCTTGGGGCCCATTGGGCCTTCCTGTGGCCTCCTGACGCCTCCTGGGACCTCCTGGGGCCTCCTGGGGCCTGCTGGAGCCTCCTGCGGCATCCTGGGAAGATCCGTGCCCGCGAGTCTGGCCAGCAGAACGGGCAAATTGTTCGAGACATCCTTTGAGTCTGGGCCACAAGGGGTGTGCGAACCAGCGCCTCGCTCGAGACATCCTCCAAATTCGCTCCGACAGTGGAGGATGTTGCGGCAGCAAACAGGCAAACCTTTCGAGACATCCCCGCAATCTGGGCGCTAACGGACGAGTGAGATACCCCCGGCGCCCCCACTCTGTGTGAAACCCAGCGCCTCGCCCGAGACATCCTCCAAGTTTGCTCCGAAAGTGGCGGACGTTTCAAGCAGGCAAAGCGTTCGAGATCCCCGCAATCTGAAGGCGAAAGGAGGAGTGAGATATCTTTTGGCGGCCCCGTTTGGGCGTGCTTAAACAAGCGCCTCGCCCGAGACATCCTCAAAATCTGCTCCATCATCATCGTCATCATCAGCATCAGCATCATCAGCAGCAGCATCAGCGTCATCATCAGCAGCATCATCGTCTTCATCATCAGCAACAGCATTAGCATCAACATCAACATCAGCATCATCAGCATCAGCATCATCATCATCATCATCATCATCATCATCATCATCGTCATCGTCATCATCAGTATCGTCATCATCGTCATCATCGTCATTACCATCATCATGATGATCATCATCATCATCATCATCAGCAGCAGCATCATCAGCGTCATCATCAGCGTCATTATCGTCATGATCATAGTCAACGTCATTACCATCATCATCAACAGCAGAATCAGATTCATCATCACCACCATCAGTATCATTGTCATCGTCATCACAGTCATCATCAACATCCTATCATAACCTCAGTGGCCCTGAGCGCGACTCTGGGTGAGGAAGAGGAGGAGGTGAGTTCGGCGCGGTCGGAGAATTATTCACTGCATGGAACTTCCAATATGTGCATCTATTAGCATCGACTGTCCGCCGTGAGTGTCTGGCGCAAGAGTTTTCTAATATACGCGGGCTTGAGTAGCGACGGTATGGGAGTGAATCTAATTGTGAATGAGTTGGAGTGTTGATGAATCTCAATAGTAATAGTGCGTCTCTGCGCATGAGCCTGGGGCCTCTTGAAACCTCCTGGGGCTTCCTGAGGCCTCCTGGAGCCTCGTGTGGCCTCCTGTGGCCTCTTGGGGCTTCCTGAAGCCTCCTGGGGCATCCTGGGGAGGACTCGTGCCCCAGGAGAGGCAAAGTCTATAGGAACAGACGTACACAAACACTACAGATTGGAGCCGCACACACGTAAAACACCAGGGACTCGTGCCCCAGGAGAGGCCCAATCACAGGACTATACGTAAAAGACTTAGGATTGGATACACAGGAGAAGCACCATCTGTAGAAACATCTGTAAAACACCAAGGATTCGTGCTCCAGGGGAGGCACAATCTATAGGAGCATACTTACAACACATGGGATTGAAGCTACTCCTGTGGCCTTCTAAGGCCTCCTGCTCCTGGGGCCTCCTGGTGCCTTCCGGGGCCTCTTGGCGCTTCTTGTGGCCTCCTGGGGCCTCCTGGGGCTTCCTGTGGCCTCCTGGAGCATCCTGGAGCCTCCTGAGGCCTTCTGGAGCTTCCTGGTGCCTCCTGGAGCTTCTTGGGGCATCCTGTGTCCTCTTGAGTCTATATTTGCCTCCTGATGCCTCCTGGGACCTCCTGTTGTCTCCTGGGGCCGCCTGGAGCCTGATGGAGCCTCCTGTGGCATCCTGGGGAGGATCCGTGCCCACGAGTCTGGCCACCAAAGCAGGCAAACTGATCGAAATATCCTCAAATTCGGGCCCCACTTGGGAGCGAAAAAGAGCGCCTCACTCGAGGCAGCCTCCAAATCTGCTCTGAAAGCGGAGGATGTTGGTTCAGCAAACAGGCAAACCGCTCGAGACATCCCCGCCAGTTTGGCGCGAACGGAGGAGTGAGATACCCCCTGGCGGCTCCCCCCTGGGGTTGCTGAAACGCGCGCCTCGCTCGAGACATCCTCATAATTTTCGCCGCCAGCATCATCATCATCATCATCATCATCATCATCATCATCATCATCATCATCATCATCATCATCATCATCAACAACAACAGCAACAACAACAACAACATCATCCTCATCAGCAGCATCATCAACATCAGCATCATCATCATCAGCAGCATCATCATCATAAATCATCATCATCATCATCATCATCAGCAGCAGCAGCAGCATCATCATCATCATCATCATCGCCATCGCCATCGCCATCGCCATCACCATCACCATCACCACCAGTATCATCAGCATCACCATCATCATCACCAGCATTATATCATAACATGATTCCGCATACTGTGACACATCAGATCGCCTTACAGCATGACTTAGCAAAGCATAACATACCAGACCACACCATACCATACCGTACCACAGCATGCCACAACACACCATGACATTACATAACGTAAACCATAGCATAGCATGTCATGGCATAACAAAATTGAACATGAGGAGGAGGAGGAGAAGGAGGAGGAGGATGAGGAGGAGGGAGGAGGTGGAGGTGAGTTCTCGGCGCGGTCGGTGAAAACAAGAACCCCATTCCTGTGGATATGGAGAAATAGAACCCCATCCTTTGAATATGGCGGAAAACAAGAATCACATCCTTTGGATGTGGGGAATAATAATCAGCATCATCACCATCATCAGGATCATCATCATCAGTTTCATCATCATCATCATCAGCAGCAGCAGCAGCAGCATCAGCATCAGCATCATCATCATCATTCGCATCATCAGCATCATATTTCTTTCGTGAGTAGGAGGAGGAGGAGGAGGAGGAGGAGGAGGAGGAGGAGGAGGGAGGTGTGAGGAGTCGGCGCGGTCGGAGAAACAACAAGAATCTTATCCTTTGGGTAGTGGGAATAACACGAACCTCACCCTTAGGATCTGGGAAAAAACACGCCGCATCTTCCTGCGCCCGCCGACCAGATGCCCCCCCTCCGCGGGCCCGCCCTCCTGCCTCGCCCCGCCAGCCCCGGCCTCCCGCCTCCGCGGCCGTCGGGGCTCTGCCTGCTGCTCGCCCGCTCGCCCTCGCCCCTCTCCGGGCTGCAGTGGCAGGCGGGAGGCAGCAGCAGCGCGTGCAGGGGAGCGCGGCACGACGTCGGATGCCTTGCGCGCCTGGCATGGCCTCGTCCTCGAGGGGATGGTCTCGGGAGCGGACCGCCAGCTCCTGCAGCCTTCAGGGCGAGGTTGCGATCACTGTCTGACCCGGGCCATTCGACGTGCCGTCGGTTGGGCCCCCTGCTGCGGCGGGCGCGGTGGCGGAGCGAGGGGCTGTGGGGCACGAGGCCGGGTGAGAGAAGGGCGAGAGGAAGAGGGGAGCCACGCGCGGCAGACAGTGGACGATGGCAGAGGAGCGTGGCTTGGGTTTGGAGCCGGCTGAGGCGCCGAGGTGGCCCAGCATTTGGGCCCGGCTAGAGTGGGGAGGGGGGCAGAAAGGGCCCCCCTCGTCGCCGCGACAGGAATGCACAGAATAAGCTTTGGAGGAGGGGGAGGGGGAGGGGGGATTTCTCGGACGGGGCTAGGACGAGGGTATATAAGTCTGTTCCAGAGCGGAGCATCCTGGAACGCTCTGCGAAGGCCGCGGCGGGGGAGGCATCCCCCAGAACCGCCGGATCTCGGGGATTCTCGACTTGTATCCTCACCCGATGTTGTCCTGCTCCTCCTCCTCCTCCTCCTCCGCCTCCGCCTCCTCCTCCTCCTCCTCCCCCTCCTCCTCCTCCTCCTCCTTGTTGTCCTCCTCCTCCTCCTCCTCCTCCTCCTCCTCCTCCTCCTCCTCCTCCTCCGCCTCCTCCTCCTCCTCCTCCTCCTCCTCCTCCTCCTCCTCCTCCTCCTTCCCCTCCTTCCCTCCTCCTCCTTCCCCCTCCTCGTCCCGACTTCGTCTCGTCTCGATCTCTTATCGCCCGCAGCCGAGGTGGTTCCAGAGACTCCCGGAGGGGCCCCGACGCCCCGCCCATGTGCGCCCACGGGGGCGTGGGCGGCGCTCCGGAGGCTCGCGGGGGCGCGCGGCCCGCGCCGAGCGGGGCGCCATGCCGGAGGAGGCGCCGGCCCAGGCCTCTGCTGGCTTCTTCGAGGGGCGCGCCGCCCTCGCAGAGGTTCGGAGGAGGAGGAGGAGGAGGAGGAGAAGAAGAAGGAGGAGGAGGAAGAAGAGGAGGCGAAGGAGGAGGAGGAGGAGGAAGAAGAGGAGGCGACGGAGGAGGAGGAGGAGGAGGAGGAGGAGGAGGAGGAGGAGGAGGAGGAGGAGGAGGAGGAGGAGGAGGAGGGGGGGGGGCAGGGTCGGCTTCTCAGAAAGGAAAGGTACCCATACCGCTCGCTACCCTCTACCCGTTTTCCCTTTTCTGGGGCCTCCTGGGAGGGCCTCGTCGCCATCGCTGGATTCGTCCCGAGATTCTGGTCAGGACGCGCCCCGGGAGAGGCCCGGGGAGCAGAGGCATCGGTACCTTTTGGTTTCCCGAAAGGTGGCCAAGCCAGAGGGCGCGTGGAACTGGGCGCTGGTGGGCCCAGACCCCGAGAAGCTACCCCTCGCCTGCGGGGGCGACGGCTCCGTGGACGAGATGAGGGAGAGCCTGCTGCAGCAGGCCAGGGAGGAGGACCACGCGCAGCTGCAGTTCTACGGGCTCATGCGGCTGAACTTCGGCACCTCCGAGGACCCGAAAAAACAGCGGGTCAAGTATGTTTTCATGCACGTCTCCAATGCGGACTCCGAGCAGACGGCCGGGAAGGCCGTGACGGCGCCCCAGGCCGCGGACCCGGAAGAGCCGCCCGCGTCGCGCGCGTGCCCGCCCGCGTCCAGCCGGAAGAGCATGGTGATGACGCGCGGCCTGGGGGGCGTCGGGATGCGGCCCAAGATGGAGAAGGCCATGGAGCAGTTCGCGCATTACACCACCAAGGTGGAGGTGCACGAGTACTCGGACCTGACGCTGGAGGACATCATGGATAAGGTCAAGAAGACGAATGTCGTCGACGGTGACTTTATCTCGGTGGAGGCGCTCCGGGCAGCCCTGGAGCAGTTCCGCGCCAAGCACAAGAAGCCGGAGGAGCCTGCGCCGCTGGCGGCCGAGGCCCCCGTTCCGGATGGCACCGAGGCCATGCCCGAGGCGCCGCCGCCTCCGCAGGAGGAGCAGCAGCAGCAGACGCGGCAGAGGAAGTCCGCGAAGGTGTACAAGCTCCACGCGTTGGTGCAGGTCTTCAGCAGCGCGAGCAAGCTGTGGCACGACGACGGCGTCGTCGTCCAGACGGTCTCGGAGCCCTGCAGCCTGGACGGCTTTCAGCTGCCCGCGGGCTCCATGAAGGTGCAGTACCTCAACGGCCTGCGCTTCAAGTGGGTGGCCCCAGCCCAGTCGGCGGAGATGCTGCGGCCGTCCAGGCGGCCTGCGCCGCCGCCGACGCTGACTGGGCGTATGCTGAAAGAGACCCACAACATGATCACGCAGTGGCACGTCAGGCATTTCGAGCTGAAGCACGGGTGGCTGCAGTGGTGGCAGAATGAGGCGGACATCGGCAGCGGGGTGAAGCCGAACGGCGCGCTGCAGCTGGTGGGCTTGCAGCTGAGCAGGGAGGGCAATAGCAGCGTCTTCAGGCTGCGAACTGCGGCATCCCGGACAGTCTACCACTTTGACTCCACCACCGACGAGGGTACCGACATGTGGACGAAGGCCCTCAACGAGCATGCGGAGTACCTGGAGAGGCTCCGCGCGCACCTGGAGAAGAGCCCCGGGGGCGGCGCGGAGCCCGCGTGAGCCCCGAGGCCCGGGCTCCCTCCCCTCTGCAGGACCTTTCGCCTCGCACCGCCTCGGCCTCTGCACGACCTTCCGCCTCGCACGACGATCGGAATCGCCCCGCCACGGCCTCGCACAGTGGCCGTTGCCGGGTCCTCCTCCTCCTCCTCCTCCTCCTCCTCCTCCTCCTCCTCCTCCTCCTCCTCCTCCTCCTCCTCCTCCTCCTCCTCTCCTCCTCCTCCTCCTCCTCCTCCTCCTCTCCTCCTCCTCCTCCTCCTCCTCCTCCTCCTTCCTCCTCCTCCTCCTCCTCCTCCTCTCCTCCTCCTCCTCCTCCTCTCCTCCTCCTCCTCCTCCTCCTCCTCCTCCTCCCTCCTCGGCCTGATTGGCCCTCGCCTCACGGCCATCCTCCACGAGCCCGTCGGCACACATGCCGTACGACGACCGACGACGACGACGACGACGACGACGACGACGACGACGACGACCTCCCGAAAGGACGCATCGCTGCGCCCCCCGCCCGGACCGCCGCCGGCCGGCCCGGGTCCGGCACAGCCGGCACTCGCCGGGGCTCCGGCGCAGGCGGAAGGCGCAGGCCGCCATGCTCACCGAGCGCGTTCCACCACTCGCAAAGTGCCTACTCGCAGACGTCCCAACAAAAAACACGTTCGCCCCGATGTAATATATCGTAAATCCCCCACGGCGGATCCAGGAGGCCATTTGCGAGTAGCGACTTTGCGGGTAGTGGAACGCGCTGCCCTACATGCGGAGAGCGCTGTCGTTGTCGTTGGGGAGAGAGGGGGGCACGTCGTGACGGAGGCGTTTCTCTCAGAGCCCCGAGTTACGGCAGGTTCGCGCCGTGTCGACCGGCGGCGACCCCGCGGCCGGCGTTCCACGTTGAACGCCGCGGGCGACCCAGAATCGGTCCATGTCGAACGACCTGACGTTTCGGAAGCGGTCGATCGTTCAAGGTTGAACGATCCCAACGGTGGCAAAACCCAACGCCGAGGGCGGCACGACACGAACTTGCCGTATCAGGGCAGGGGGGCGGGCGGAAGGCGCAGTCCGCCATGCGGAGAGCGTCGTCGTTGTCGCTGGGGGGGAAGGGGGGCACGTCGTGACGGAGGCGCTTCCCTCAGAGCCCCGAGTTATCAGGGCAGGGGATGGTCAGGCGCAACCCCGTTCTCGCGCCAGAGTTGTCCCGGATTGTATTCAGCTCGAGTTCCCCCAGATCACGTCCTGCCCCAAGCAGACACCGTCCAGCTTCTGAACATCCCGACGTGTTCCCGATCAGGTGGTTTTCGGGGTTTTCCCCGATCACATTTCGGGGGGCGCTCGATTGGCTTTCGGCCCATTTGGCCACCGCGCCGGGGATGCAGGTCAGAGGCATCCCGGGGCCCCCTCGGCGCTCGGGCCTGGGGCGCTCGCGGCTGCGGAAGTGTCCTGCGGGGAGGAGGAGGAGGAGGAGGAGGAGGAGGAGGAGGAGGAGGAGGAGGAGGGGGAGGAGGAGGAGGGGGAGGAGGAGCAGGAGGAGGAGGGGGAGGAGGGGGAGGAGGAGGAGGAGGAGGAGGAGGAGGAGGAGGAGGAGAGGAGGAGGAGGAGAGGAGGAGGGGGAGGAGCAGGAGGGGAGCGCCGGGGGGGAGCAAGTGCTCCCACGAGGGCGCGAGGTTATTCGCGCTTCGCGGCCCTCGTTCCTTCTCCCCCTCCGCCTCGTCCTCCTTTTCTCCCTGCTGGGGTGGCAGCGCGGGAGCGCGAAGGTTCTTCGCGCCTCGCGGAGCGCGAGAGCGCGAAGTTGGGAGCCTTCTTGGGGGGGAGCCGCAGGAGGCTCGCTGGGGGCCGCCGAGAAGTTTCAAGATCCGGGGCCTGGGCCCCGCCCCGTCATGCTCGAGCCCGATGGCCGAGGACTACGTTTAAGTCGGGCCTGTCCCCCTACAGGGGGATTTTCGACGAAAAATAAGAAAATACCCCAAAAAGATAGTCCAAAAACAGTTTGGGGGGGACACGCCCAACAGAAGACTACGTCGGATCTGCGGGCGCTCCAGCTCGTGCCTCGTGGTGGATGCCCTCTCCGTCGGGGCGTGCCTGGCCACGCCAAGAGTTTCGCCGGGTGCTCGCGTGGCGCCAGGCGCGCTGGGGATCTCGTGAGACGCCTCCCGTCCACGTGCAGCTGCCTCCCTCCCTCCCTCCCTCCCTCCCTCCCTCCTCCTCCTCCTCCTCCTCCTCCTCCTCCTCCTCCTCCTCCTCCTCCTCCTCCTCCTCCTCCTCCTCCTCCCCTCCGCCTCCTCCTCCTCCTCGTCCTCCTCGTCTCCTCCTCCTCCTCCTCCTCGTCCTCCTCCTCCTCCTCCTCCTCCTCCTCCTCCTCCTCCTCCTCCTCCTCCTCCATCTCCATCTGCTCCTCCTCCTCCTCCTCTTCGTCCTCCTCCTTCTCCTCCTCCATCCTCAGGGGTGGCCTAAGCGACCTCTAGCCGACCATCCCCTTGCGTGACGTCCCCCTCGCCTCGCCCCAAGATGCAGGTACAGTGCCGTTTTTAATACATGCTCCGCGTGCGGATCATGTATTAAAGTTGCAGGGGGGTGGTATCAAAAACCACGGTGAGTTCATGCATTAATGTATTCCCAAATTAATCATTGCTAAAAATCCTAGATTGTTTAAAATCCCATGTATTAAAAGCTGCCCTGTAGGTATGCAGCCAGAGGGAAGCTACAAAGAGCGAGGACGGCGTCACGGAAGGGGACGGTTCGCTGGGGGTTGGTCCGGCCGCGCCCAGGATCCAGATGGGGGTGCCCTTTGAAGGTGTTTCAAGAAAGACGGTAGAGGGAAACGATTATTGAGCCGTCCCCCTCCCCCCAAAACTCGATGTTGGCACGCGCGGGGGACGCTGCGGTCGAAGTGCATCTCGTCTGACCCACCGATAATTTTGAACATTGGGGGGGGGAGGCGTTGACGGATGATAAGTTGTTCCGAGGCCTGGATCTCTGGGCGCACCAGAGTCGCGAGCGGCCGCAGCGTCGCGGAGCGCAGGGCGCGCTCCTCTCCCCCCGCGGGCGCAAAGGGCGCCGTGCGCGGCCGCCGCTCCGGCGAGCCGCGCCTCCGAGGCACGGAGCTCCGCGCTGCACTCGAGGCAGCGCCGCGGAGGCGCCTCGCGAAGCTCTCTGGGCGCGCGAGGGCCGCACGACGCCGCGCGCTCGCAGAGATCGAGGAGTGCCTTCCGCCGACTTCCAGGCGCGCCAGCGCCGCGCGCGGCCGCGGCGTCGACGAGCTTCGCGGAGCGCGTCCAAGGCGCGCGGCCAAAGGTCCTGGGCTCGCGGCAGGCGCGCGCGGCCGCGGTGCGGGGGAGCGCAGGGCGCGGTCCTCTCCTGCCGCGAGCGCGGGAGGGCCGCCGGCGGCCGTGCTGCCTCGAGAGAAGGCGGGATGCGCCTCGAGAGATCGCGGCGTTCGCGGAGCCGTGCGCGACGGCGATTTCGGGAAGCAGCGGCTACCATCGGGCCGAGGCAAGATCGAGGTCGGATCGGGGGGGGTACCCTGGAGCTCTTCGTGCCTGCTGGATGGTCTTGTGTACTCCAGACTTCGTAATAAAAGGGAGGGGGTCTGGACCCTCCAAGACAAGCCATTTCAGACCCCCCCCCGTGGGAGAACCCTTCAAAACATCGTCCCCAGACCCCCCCAGGCCCTCCGAGATAGCCTGGAAGAGACCCCCCCCGAAATGAGACCCCCTCCCTTTTATTACGAAATCTGGAGTATCCTGGGGAGGGTATCCTTGGATGTTCTGCTTGCTCTGGCCGACGGAGGGTCTCATGGTCATGAGGGGTACTCTTCTGGCCTACGTTTACGTCGGGCCTGTCCCCCTACAGGAGGAATATTCAAAAATAGTCCAAAAATAGTCTGGGGAAGATTTTTTGACCATTTCTGAATAATTTTTGATTTTTTTACCTAACAGCTTTTGCTGATAGGTTTCTAGTGGTGTCAAAAGAGAGCAGCAAATGACTCCACAGGGGGGTCGGGGCGGGACCCGGGGAGCTGTGTCCGAACTCGTGTCCGAATGCGTTTTTCGCAAACAGTCACACACTTCGTGCTCTTCGACCTCCCAGAACTCCATTCCCGGGCCACATTCTGAATGCCCGGAGCCAACTGTAGGCCACTTCGTGCTCTTCGACTTCCCAGAACTCCATTCCCGGGCCACATTTTGAATGCCCGGAGCCAACTGTAGGCCACTTCGTGCTCTTCGACTTCCCAGAACTACATTCCCGGGCCACATTTTGAATGCCCGGAGCCAACTGTAGGCCACTTCGTGCTCTTCGAGTTCCCAGAACTCCATTCCCGGGCCACATTTTGAATGCCCGGAGCCAACTGTAGGCTACTTCGTGGTCTTCGAGTTCCCAGAATTCCATTCCTGGGCCACATTTTGAATGCCCGGAGCCAACTGTAGGCCACTTCGTGCTCTTCGAGTTCCCAAAACTCCATTCCTGGGCATGATTTTGAATGCCCGGAGCCAACTGTAGGCCACTTCGTGGTCTTCGACTTCCCAGAACTCCATTCCTGAGCATGATTTTGAATGCCCGGAGCCAACTGCAGGCCACTTCGTGTTCTTCGAGTGCCCAGAACTTCATTCCCGGGCCACATTTTGAATGCTGAGGCAGGCTGAGGCTGAGGCTGAGGCAGGCTGAGGCTGAGGCCGAGGCTGAAGGCAGACTGAGGCTGAGGCTGAAGCAGGCTGAGGCTGGCTGAGGCTGAGGCTGAGGCTGAGGCAGGCTGATGCTGAGGCAGGCTGAGGCTGAGGAGGCTGATGCAGGCTGAGGCTGAGGCAGGCTGAGGCTGAGGCCGAGGCTGAAGGCAGACTGAGGCTGAGGCTGAAGCAGGCTGAGGCTGAGGCTGAGGCAGGCTGAGGCTGAGGCTGAGGCAGGCTGATGCTGAGGCAGGCTGAGGCTGAGGCTGAGGCTGATGCAGGCTGAGGCTGAGGCAGGCTGAGGCTGAGGCCGAGGCTGAAGGCAGACTGAGGCTGAGGCTGAAGCAGGCTGAGGCTGAG